GCCTGCTGCAGGGGGTCCCCAAATCCCAATTCTGCTGCTGGGACAGAAACTCCCCCTCCAAGCCCAGCAGGGATTATTTATCCTGGGAGGATCTTGGAGGCTCCTTCCCAATCACCTCAAGCATCTTCTCCATCTGGGATGGAAACAGTGGGTGAAGGCAGACTGGCATACAGGGAGCACATTTGCTGGAGCAGCACTAGGACTGGGATTTTTTTTCCCCTTTATTTAATTACCCCCCAGCCGAGCTGCGAGTGAACATGCTCCTGAGGCAATGCCAAGCTCCACTTATTTATTTTTCACCCTCCTGAAGGCCATTGGATGTCGTGCTCTACTGGCTCTCTGTCCTCCAACCCTTGCAATGGGAGGATTATTTATTTCCTTAAACTAGAGGAGCCGTCTCAGCCACTCACCTCTCTGCTGTGGGGGTTAAGAGAGATGCAAAGAGCCATTGGTGCCAGCCTTGTGAGCCACAAGGCATGGGACAGGCTGGGGACTGACCCTGCACAGGGACAACTGTGGGGTGGATGGGAGGAGACTGTTTTGATGGGGAAATGGCAAAAAAAGGAATTCTGGGGGGAGCTGCCAATCCTGGGAAACCCCTGTACCCCAGCTCTGGGCTTCATGTTCATATTTATGTATTTATTTAGCAAACTTTGGTGGAACTTTGGGGGGGTCACCTTTTTATGAGCCCAGGTTGGACACAGATACCACCTCCCTTCTGTGCTGGCTGTCCACCAAGGCACCTCCTTCCACATGGACTTTCCTAAAGCCTGCCAGCCAGCACCAGGGGCTGGGGACCCTGGGGAGAGACATGCAGCAGCTCTTCTCACTTGGAGGTGTCCTTGCTACTTTTCAACACATCTGCCCATGTGCTTCATCAGGCTGGTGCTTTTCCAGTGCAACCAGTGCTGCCTCTGATGCTCCTGGATGGCTGCAGGGAGCAGGGGAGAGCAGTTGCACCTCGGTTTCTGTGTGGCTCCGTCTCCCTGAAGCCCACTCCAAATCCAAGGAGTCTCGTGGTTGCTGCTGTCTGCACAGCTGCCAGAGCCCAGCTGGGATGCACAAGCAGGTTTTGCTGATGTCACCCATGGATGGATAGATCATGTGATGCAGCTTCTCTCCAGGATGCACAGGGACCAGAAAACGGATGAATGCATGGAGGCTGTGGGGGTCTGGATGGGCCCCCAGGACTCGGGAGTTGGCAGGACTGGCCCATAGAAAGGGCTGCTGGTTGCTTCTGCAGGCACCCACTGCCTCCAGCTGTGGCCCCTGCTCCCAGGCAGCTCCCTTAGGTGTGGTGGAAGCTGCTTTGCTGCTGTGAGCAAGCTAGGAGCAGTATGTGCCCCACTGATGTCACCTCTGGCAGGAAAACTGATGCTTGTCCCTACTATGCCCCTGCCACAGAGCTGGGACAAGCCACCCTGTCCTCCCCAGAGTCCTAGTGCCCATCCTGTCCCTCCTGATGCTGCAGGTCCCCATTCAATAGCATCCCTCTGGCAGTGCCGAGGGTGCTGCCATTATTATGTTTTGGAGTGAACGGCGAGCTGAAGGGGAGGTGTTCATGACCTGCATACACAGGCACACTTCACCAGCAGTGCATAAATCCACCGTCCTCCTCCTCACCCGAGGTGGCTGTTAATGAGTAGCCAGGTGAAAGCAGTTGGAGCAAGGCCAAACAAAACCCAAGTCCCATGAACCAGCTGCCTCCATTTCCCCAGCCCCTTCCTGAGGGCAGCAGTGCCTCACAGCCCCACACTTGGGGGGGGTGAAAAAAAACCACTTCTGCCGTCTCCAGAGCTTTGCCAGCAAGAGGGCAAGCTTGTTCTGTGGGATGGCAGCACGCAAGGTCAACAGGTTTGGTTCTGTTTCCCACACAGCCTCAACCTGGGGTTTTATCCCACTGCCTGCATGGAATCAGCAGTGCTCCTTGCCCCTGGTCACAGTTTGCTGGGCTCGGGGCAAAGAGCAGCACTGGGGTCCCTGCTGTGGTTTGCTGTCGGTGGTGGTGGAGCCAGGGGAAGCAAGCCCATGTGCCCATGCCTGCACCCATGGCTCTGGCAGCACCATGGGCAGGGAACGCTCCTCTGAGCTTAAATCCAGCCATGTGTCCTGCAGGGCATGGAGGGCCCAGGGCCACCAGTGAGACAGCAATAGGTCAGCACTGGTCTGCCAGGAGTGGTGGCAGAGACGTTACCTTTGATGGTCAGGGAGAGGGTTCCTGCCACCTGCCCCAGGGGACATGGCTCCTATCTGCTCCCACCCTGCCAAAGGCATGGTTCAACAGGCATGGCAGCTCCCAACCTCCTTAGTCTGAGGAGGAAAAGGTCCTCAGCCCAGGAGGGACCCTTCAGTCCAGCTGTCCCTGGCTCCAGGGAGGAATATGCCATGCAGCTGAGGGACACTCGAGGCTCTGAACCCCTCCATTCCCCTCAGTGTCTACGAGCTCAGCCCAGTTCCCAAGGGCATGGGATAGAACAGAAACTCCAAACAACAGCCCCAGACACCGGTGCCAGTGCTGCACTGGGGGACTCCCAAGAGCTGGGAACTCCATTCCCACAGGAGCCCCAGCCCCCTCCTTCCGCTGTGTGTGTAGCTGTGGTTGCCTGCATGGAACGGCGTCCGTAGCGTAGCGCGTGTTACTGTGTACACCTGGACTGCTGTGGGCTTGCCTCTAATAAAGGTGGTGATGAACATCTGGGCTGGTCCTGGGGTGATTGAGGGTGATTCCTGGC